GGAGCAGGTGCCCCGGGGCTTTTCGGAGGCCCAGGCGTCGTCTTGGCTGGAGGCAGCCCGCTGCGCCCGTGTGGTGGCCCTGGAGCGCGGGGGCTGCGGGCGCAGCTCCAACAGACTGGCCCTTTTTGCCGACGGCACCCGCGCCTGCGTGCGCTACGGTATCAACCCGGAGCAGATCCAGGGCGAGGCCCTGTCCTACTACCTGGCGCGCCTGCTGGGCCTCCAGCGCCACGTGCCGCCGCTGGCACTGGCCCGCGTGGAGGCGCGGGGTGCGCAGTGGGCGCAGGTGCAGGAGGAGCTGCGCGCTGCGCACTGGACCGAGGGCAGCGTAGTGAGCCTGACCCGCTGGCTGCCCAACCTCACGGACGTGGTGGTGCCCGCTCCCTGGCGCTCGGAGGACGGCCGTCTGCGGCCCCTGCACGACGCTGGCGGCGAGCTGGCTAACCTCAGCCAGACGGAGCTGGTGGACCTGGTGCAATGGACCGACTTGATCCTCTTCGACTATCTGACAGCCAACTTCGACCGGCTCGTAAGCAACCTCTTCAGCCTGCAGTGGGACCCGCGTGTTATGCAGCGCGCCACCAGCAACCTGCACCGCGGTCCCGGTGGGGCGCTGGTCTTTCTGGACAACGAAGCAGGCTTAGTGCACGGCTACCGGGTAGCAGGCATGTGGGACAAGTATAACGAGCCGCTGTTGCAATCAGTGTGCGTGTTCCGCGAGCGGACTGCGCGGCGCGTCCTGGAGCTGCACCGCGGGCAGGACGCGGCGGCCCGGCTGCTGCGCCTCTACCGGCGTCACGAGCCTCGCTTCCCCGAGCTGGCCGCGCTCGCCGACCCCCACGCTCAGCTGCTACAGCACCGCCTCGACTTCCTAGCCAAGCACATTTTGCACTGTAAGGCCAAGTACGGCCGGCGGCCGGGGACTTAGCATCACCCGGAGGAAGAGAGAGACCCGGGACTGGAGTACGGATGTTGGGGGAAGGGCCATCCCCTCTACCACCTTATGGGACCACCCGGCCAACACCCAGCCAGTGGCCTGAGCGCAAAGGTGTCTAAAAATTTCAGCTTCACCCACCCGCCCCTTTCCTTCAGTCCCACGCTGTTCCCTTTCAAAGTTCTGGGAGGAGAAACTCACAGAGGCGAGAAGTGTAGCATTCCCTCCACCCAGCTTATAAAAGGATTATTTTCTGTGCCAACGCAGAGCTTGGATTAGAAGAAACTGGCTGCTGGGTTTGGCCCCCCCGGGTGGCTGTCTCTGGGAGGTGCACCCAATTCCTGGACCCCCCCCACCCCCACCCCATTCCCTTTCTGAAAAAGGAAAACTTCCGTTTGAGCCGTTGAGCTAATTCTTGAAATTTTCTACCAAATGCAGCGCTGGTGGCCCGGGAGCAGGGCTGTGACATTGGCTGGTGGAGCCCCCTTCCTGTGTTCTCCCTTTGTTCCAGCGCCGTGATGGTGAGATCACTGTTCAGAGTAGGAGGACGGCTTCCGATAGGACAAAGAGTGCAGGACCTCCTGACTCTGGGGAGCCCAGCAGACTATGACAATTTGTCTGACTCATTCCTGACCTCTTGTCATTTTGGCCTGAAGGCTATGAATTCAGGACCAGCTGTATTCACTGAGTAAAATAATGAATTTCTTCTTCCTCCCCCTCCCAGCCACCAAAATTGACAATGATGATGTTCACCAGAAAAAAAAAAATCAGTTTCATGCACTTTACTTTGTTTTTATTTTAATTTTTTATTAAGAAAAACTTTTTTATTTGAGAGAATTTGCCTTCTATGTATATATGTGCATAAAGTGTGGTGTAAATATACTAAACAAACTTATATTTCAATAAAAGGGAGTTTAAAATTTAGAATTTAATCCTTGTGGTTTTAACTATTGAGAGATATCTGATGCCCCATGTGCTCTCAGGATAAGCTTTAGGCTTTCTCCCTTGCAGATGTGCTTTTAAAACAATGGATGCATATCCACCCCAGCTGTGACTGGGAGACTTAGAGAATCGAACAAAGACAAGCAGATTCCCTGTCCTCACTCAGATGAACCCTAGTGCTGGAAATCTGAGTTCAGCCTAGAATGTGGAGGGAGGTGGGGGAGAGATAGGAGGAAAGTGTTCTATTTCCTGGCAAATAAAACTTTGATATTAAAGGATTTTACTGTAACATATTCCTATATTAATCATTTGTCAAATATGATAGAACCAGATGTGCAGAGTAAAATATGACGAATGCCCCCTTTTTAAACTTAACTACAGTGGTCACATGTTGCACATTATTTTCAGCGTTGTAATTATTGTGCATCACAGAGTGTAAAGATAATAAGCTAAGCACATACTGCAAACAGGTAGAGAAAGTCATAAATTAGTTCTTTAATCTCCTGGCATAAATTCCATTGCATTCAGGAGATCCTAATCTCCAACATCTGGACTCACCCAGTTCTCCAAAGAGGTTGTATTGTTTTTCGGGTACTAACTGCACTAACTGCATAGACCCCTCAAAGCAGCCATTGTGAGACCAAGAAAGTATACAGTATTTCGTATATGACATTTGGGCCCCTACTTTTGGGGGACTTCAAACTTAGAAAATATTTTTTGATTTTTTACCCTTTTTGTTTTATTGCCCCATTGGTGTTTTATTTTGGCATTCTATTTGGTATGTGGGCCCAAGTGATCTCGCCTATTATCTTTTTATTTAATGACCTTTAACTCAAAGTAACTTTTGGTTACAACTTTAATAGATTTTTATTTGACTTGCATTTGTAAACCTAGGGTTTTATAGACTCATGAAGATATTAAATCGCTGTGGGTTCCCCTTCTCACTCTGCATTACAAGGTAGTGTGTAATTTAACTATTAAATGTCATCCTTATGTTTTCAGTTCCTTATGCTAAGCCAAATCAGCTGAAAAAAAAATATTTCTAAACTATTTTTGGTGTAAGCCAAATTTTTTCACAGTAGAGCCACAGAATGTACTGATAATGGCAAATATATTTTTTCAAGAAATGGTTAGTATGAGACCTCATATTACACCTTTCAAAAAGAAACATTTTCCATTTCTGATGATTATTAACTATTAGATATGCTGCCTACGTTAATGGAGGCCGCTCCAAGAAAAGGATAAATATTCAGCAAACTGTGTTTTTACTCAACACGTTCATCGAAGAAAACAATGAGCAGAAATAAGTTAGAAGTTTCCAGATTGCACAGGAAGTACACCCTGACTCCCACATAGCTTCAGCACTGATGAGTTCTGGGCCAACAGCATACTCTACATTCTTCCTAAACTTCCGTTCCAAGCCCAGACTTGACCATGGTTAAACCAGAGCAAGAAACTGAACATAATTTAAATGGCTCTTCTCAGATTCTTTAGTGAACCATATCAGCCTGTTCAAGAAGTAAGTTTAATTACATGGTGGAGTTGTTAAGGGAACCAAGACTTAATTACAGAGAATGGGTTTTAACTGTTGATATTCTTTGTGAATAATCGGTAGGCTTTGGCATGGAAAGATCAATTAAAGTTTTGCCATGGTCAGTGAATGCTGTTATGAACAAATAATTTTTCAAATAAAAAAAATTTCAGGCTACAGCATGATTTGAAAAAAGTAATGGGTTCTGCAGGCAGACTAGATTCTGAATTCTGCCTCTTACCTGTTTACCTTCAGCAAGTCATTTACTTAGCTCCCTCATCTGTGAAATGGAGATCCAATCAGAGCATTGTGGAATTTAAATGTTAACATACAAAACATACAGGCACATAATAGGTACTTAAAAAAACTCACTTCCTATTCCTCTGTTTAGAAAAAAAAAATTCTTCCCCTTCTTACACTTCAGTAAACTTCTAATTATCATCAAAGTCAAATCTAGCTGTTTCCAAGCTTGGGATCAGTTTTCGGTGTGTGGTAATAATTTAACAAGTTACTTATGAGGGCCCTCTTCCAGCACTATGCAAGGCACTGGTTCATAAAGCCAAGGGTGCAGGTTTGACCTCCACATGTGTTTGAGTGGGTGTTGCCAGGACCCAAGCAGACCCCATGCACCAAGACATCTATACTATGAAAAAACAGTAGATGGCTCATTGCAAATCCATCACTACTTCTGGAAAGCATCAAAAAGTGATGAATCCTTGCAAGAATAATTCTCTTCCCAATTCCTTCTGCCAAGAGAAAGTAGGCAGTTGACCTTTTCTCCCTGAATTTGACTGGATTAATTCACTTTGTCAATGACATAGTTCTAAACTCTATTAAGCATACTTACTCTCCTGTCTTTGAATCGGGAAACAAAACAAATTATTTTAACACATCTCAAAACTTCTCAACCTTCTGCCTACAACTGCAGCTAGGAGAGTCCTCTAAAGCCTAGAGGTTGATCATGTGGATTAAATGAGTAAATATTTATAATATTCTCAGAATAGTGCCTGACACATAGTGAATGCAATTACGTGTTTGTTTACTGGTAGGGTAGATAATTTCTCCTCTAAGTCCAAACCAGAGGCACCTTGAGTCCCAGGAAGGATCCTCTTTCATAATTCTGCTCTCTGCGGTTATACAACATTTTCTACATGCTTCTGTTTTGACTCAGTAAACCCAGCTAGAGTGCATGAATTTGGCAGGAATTGCCTAGAGCCCACAATTGTCAGCTGGTTGTCTTGTTTCTGAGAATGTGAGTCCTCATATGTCCCTCCGTCTTTTTCACAGGGGGCTGTAATTCTGTTTCTCATGTGGCTCATCAGCTCCAGGGAGCAGTGAGCTGTGGAATTTTGCACCTTCTGGGCTACCATGAGTTGTCCATGAGTCATGGATCATCCAAGCCTGGGCACTGATTATCTGCCCCTCCACACTCCTGCCCTGTCCCACAGAACCACTGATCTCAAGTGGTAGAAGGGCAGTAGGAGTGCCAGAGGAGAAAAGGGAGTCCAGTTGATCCTGAAGCACAGGGGATGCTCCAGAATGGAGTAGAATGTCAAGGTGGTCTGGAGACCCTCAGGGCAAGGGCTGATATCCACCTCCAACCATATTTTGGTCATTAGAGTCTAATGGAAAGGATACCGGGAGTTAGGAGACCCCGGCTACTTCTGACTCACTGTGTGATTAGAGAACTTCATTTCCCCTCTCTGGCTCAGGTGTCTTACCTGGAACAGGAAGGTATTTAATTTAATTAGTAATTTCCAATTTTTTTGAACCAAAACTCACAGTTTACATTGTGACCCAGGACACACACACTCATACAACTGAAACAAAAGTTTCACAAAATAGTATGTGTAACACGCTTTTTCTCTTTTATTCAGTTTTATTCTAGTCCACCTCCTCCTCTACTTCCTAATGCTAATTGCGACCCTCTAAATTGATTTCATAACTCACCAATGGGGCAGAGCCTGCACTATGCAAAACACTGGATTAGGTGATGAGTAAGCTCCCTTCCAGCTGTAAGGTTCTAGGGAAATTCCACTTATAACTCGTTACCACCTAAAACAATTTTTTTCCAGAGAGACTATGAGCAGATTTCAATTTTGCGTATTTTTGAGAACAAAGACTAAAGTGCTTAATTTCAAAATGTAATTGGGAGAACCACCAAAAATCTTACACAGGGTCTTTTTATAAATACTTTTTAAATCCCCTAAATGTGGGCAGTAACTTTCAGTCTGTTCCAACTATGTGTGAGCAAACAGTGCTTTGGAGTAAAAGAAAAAATCCTTTACATCTCTGCCTCAACATGGCCCAAGGACGACTCAAGAGGGCAGTTTCTTTTCTGTGTATTCATAAAGATCAGATGTAAGAGTCATAATTTTTTAATGTGACTGTTTTACCAGTTTCTCCTTCTGTGTCCTGCTGTGGGGGAAACTGCATTAATAAACTATGTCTCAATGCTGCCTAGCTGGAATTTTTTTTCTCCGCAGGACTCTACCAAATATAGCTAAAGGAATGCCTATTTTATTTATCTTTTCAACTTTCTTTCCATTTTATATATGTCTTATTGACACTTTTGAAATTTTTCTCTTAATGGCACCTTAATTTGGAGGGGTGGGGAAGAATAGAGAACTAATTGTTAATCGAGTAACAACAACAAAAGATAACTCCTTTTTTCCTTTTCTTCAGTGCCATATGGTATCTTTTATGGTTTTAACAATTATTTTACACACTATCCAGAAAAATTATGTAGCTTATAGAACTGGCAGTTTTCCAGTACCAACTCACAGATTTTACTTTGCTAAGAAATGGTGAGTTAATAATAGAAATGTGTCACTTTTAATCCAAAGACCATACACCATGCATTATCTCTGCCTGTTTACACCTTCCTCAAATGATATATTCTTTAATTTTCATTAAAGACTTTGTCCCCATTCCACAAGTGGCCTGGAGAGACAAGGCAAGTGGGGAACAACCAAAGTCATGATCTTATATATTTTTAGTTGTGATAATATACATATATAACAAAATTTTCCCTTTTAATCATTTTTAAGTGCACGATTCAGTGGCATTAAGTATACTCACAATGTTGTGCAACTATACCACTATTTCCAAAACTTTTTCATCACGCCCCAAAAAACTGCGTACCCATTAAACAGTAAGTCCCCATTTCTCCCTTCTCCCATCCTCTAGTAACCTCTAATCTACTTTCTGTCTCTATGAATTTGCCTAAATATTTCATACAAGTGCAATCATACAGTGTTTGCTGTGTGTGTGTGTGTGTGTGTGTGTGTGTGTGTGTGTGTGTGTCTAGCATCTTTTGCTTACACAGCCATGGTCTTGGTCATGATAGAGCAACATAATAGAGCTGAAGCAGTGTTGTTTGGGAACTGGCAGAACTGCATCTGAATCTGATTTCCACTATTTAATAGCCCTAGACCTTCAGATAAATTGATGAACTCC